GCATCGGAGTAAGTTTAAATTGCTTAGGGAAATCTAATCAAAAACAGTTTGGCCCTATTGAAGAATGGGCTGATGAGAAGATGGAAGAGGAGACCAGAGAAATGTGTGTTCCTTTAGCTGCGTTATATTGTTCTGAATGGCAGGTTGTGCTGTAAAAAGATCTTCCGTCTCTCTGGGTTGAAATAGGAAATTAATCTGATAGCCAGGGCTCAAATTAAGGAGCAGAATTAGCTGATCAAAGAATATGGGGCAGAGGCACAGGAGTGGGGAGAGGCTGAGATTGGAAAAAGCAGCCCAGGAAAAGAAGGATGGACAGAGCAGTCTGAGAAGTGAGAGAAGCCCAGGCTGAGAAAGCAGGACTAGATAGACCCAAGACTTGCTAGCAAGGAGGATAGGACCATCAGAGTGGGGAAAAGACAGCAGCTGGGTTGGGAGCAGATGGGAAGAGCTGGGTAGGAAACCTCAGGTTAGGCCTAGCAGGTAGGATAGCAGAGCACATCTCTGTCGAGAAGCTAAAGCAGGACTCGAGGTGCTTCCTTCTCATTCTCCCTTTGTTGCCAGGAAGCAAGCTGGCGAGGTATCCTGCTCCCCCTGCAGCACTAGCAGGTTGTCATCTTCTCTTTGGTGAGTCAAGTGGCAGAGGCCTGAGCAGAACTGAGGGCTCCAGGTCTGTAGATTAACCATATGGCTGTCGGCACAACATCACACGGCGGGAGGTGTCTGTCTGGCTTCCTGTTGGTAGGAACCTGGGAAACTCCTGTCCTTTCCTCAGGGTCTTAATACTCTCTTTTTAATAACAAATGAAGCACTCGTGGTTAGGGAGTGCCGAAATTAAAGGTGCTTATGCATCCTGTAACTTTTTCTCTGTGACATAATTTGTTTTCCCCCACAAAACACATGCTTTGCTCAGTGAGAGAGAGGAGCTGTGTACTTTTTGTCTGGCTTGCTGCAGAAGAACGAAGAACGTGCAGTGTGAGAGTCAGGGAATTACTTGAAGAAAATGGCTGTAGTAGCCACAGGAACACGATCTGATCCTCCAGGCCAGCTGAGTTTTGTTGTGGTGTTGGACTGGTCATTTTGACTAAACTTTTCAAAGACTATCATTAGCTATTGTACTTAGCTCGTTTGAGATGCCCGATTCTAGAGCCTGGAAGAAGATTGGTAAAAGAACGACACAAATTTCAGAAAAGCATTTCTTAGGCATCTCGAATCAAGTACTGCTCAAATCAGCAGATAGTTCTGAAATGGTGCCATCTGTGCCTTAGCTCACTCTCCATGTAATGGTAATAATGCTACTTCTAAAAGCAAGTTGTGGGAGATTTTGAAAATAAATTAGCTTAATGTTTTGTGACGCAGTCAAGAATAAAGAATTGGATGAGGATGAAGGCTGGAGGAATCAAAAGGAGCTGAAAGATTATAGTGAAAGTACAGTGTCATGCACCTAGCATCTAATGCAAATGTCTCCTATAAACGTGGTGTTCATCACCTGAAACTGGTGGAAGGAAGGAAGAAAAATGTGGGAGTGTTGCTAGAGCTTGTAATAATTAAGGCAGCACTTTTCATGGTCTGTTACACTGTGATCGTAAAAGGTCTCAATGGCTATGGGAGAAGCACTAATGCTGTTGGGCTTTTGGGACGACTCATCTGGACACTTGTATATACTTCCAGCTTTACAGCAGAAACATGAGAGCACTCTGGAGAAAGTGCCCAATGAGGCTGATAGCATGGTCGGAGGAATGGGTGGCCAGTTTTAAAAGGCAAAGAAAAATGTGTGGCTTACTGAGCCTTGCAAAATGAAGGTGGAGGGATGAATAAGACGGCAGTTTGTAAATGTACCTGAACGATTAACAGCAAGATGGAAGCTAGCTGATGTACAGTTTTTGGCACAACAGTAAATAGGTTTGAAATGAATGGGAATAAATTTAGGTTGAAAATTAAATAGTTTGTAAGCATCAGAGTAGTGAGAGTCTGGGCCAGTATCCCAAAGGACAGAGTGGAAGGAAGACACCTTGTTGGGCTGAAGATGAGGCTTGAACCCTTTGAGAAGTGTGAGCAGGACCTGGGCTCAGACTCAGGAGGCTGTAGCCAGTTAAATGTGTTAATTATAGCAGATGCAGCGTGCATGCTTGGACATTGTGCGTGCAGCGTGCGTGGGTGGCTGATCTTTTCCTTCTCTCAAGTGAAATGAAGTCATTAGGAATTATCTCTAATATTCTAGCCCTAAACTTCAGAGCTTGAGCTGCTTTAATATTAGTATGCCTTGGGGAGCCAGATTACCAGCGTATCTGCCCTGGAGAGTCTGCGAGCAGATGAGATCTCTTTCAGGTGGCTGGTTTTTAACATGCACCCTGAGAGGTCTGCAGAGTACCTGAGCATGTGTGGAAAGGAGGGTATGTATGTGCTCTCCATTAGCATTTCCAAGATGCGGGAAAGCCTCGTGTCTGCTTGCTCCAGCATATCTGCTTGCCCTGCTTTATGCAGCATATTTGAATGGAAAACTATCAGTTGTGTAAGGGCTAAAGGAAGAAATACATTGTTGGAGTGGGAACATCGCCGTTCTCAGCCTTTGGATGGCCTCCACTTCATGTTTGTCACTTGTGATTCATATCTGTAAGGAACATGTGTCACTGCTGATGTGATGTGCCATGTCATAAAAGCTCTGGTGACATTTTGTGACCTCTTAAAGTCTAACAAAAGGGGTTTGCAACATACAAATGCCATCTGCCATGGCAAAGCAGCTTCCCAGTTCTCTAATCACATATGCTTCTTGTGAAATGCTGCAACATCTTGAAAAAAATCAGCATATTAATGGAGGAAGCTTGTCATTTCACTCATTCCCAGATTCTTTACATAATTCATCTATTAACTTTTTGTTTTGCTTATTAAGAGCCCTGAGGGGTGGAAGTTGCAGCAAAACCATGATAGCTTTAGGAGTTCCATTTCATTAGAGCTGTATTTTCTGACTTTTTTGGTACTCTGAATTGGAATCATTCTCCCTCTCTACCCATTCTCCTTCTATCTTTTGCAAATACTCATGGGGTTCACAGATGGAAGTGTGAAAAGTCTGAGCTGTCTCAGGAACATGTAAGAGGATCTTTGGAGGGGTGTAAAAAGAGGGGAGTTTTCCTCATCAACCTGCATTTGTTCACTTAATCCGTTATGGGAACTGAGATGTGCTAATTATTTTAAATTGATTCAGCTTGTTTGCCTGTGTGTCACGCCAGTAGCCTCAGATGTGGGATAAGGAGACCAAACTTTGGCTTCAGTTTTTGCCAGGCTGACAGCTGAAAAAATAAGCAGAATGGTTTCATGCTTGGATGGGAGAGAAGAGCACTTCATCCACTTGTCCTTTACTTTGCGTACTGCCGTTGTTGGGTGCTCTAGCTTTTACATGTAGATAAGACAAACTTTCTAAAGAGAGAGTTTACTGCAGGAAATGTGTACGTATTACAGGCCACATATACAACACACTCGCATTAATTTATGAGTAACAATGAGCAAAACCTACTTCAGATGGTGCCGAGGTAGAAAATTGCATCTCTGCAGGCTGATGAGGGGCAGCAAATGCCTCCTGTCATAACCAGTGCTTTTGTGTGTTTTCCAAGAAGCATGCTTGCATTGCCTAGCCCTCACAGCCATCAGTGAAGAAGTTAGGTGTGTTTTTATCGCTGTATTATAGGCAGAGGAGGTACACTGAAAAATGAAGTGACGAGACTAGCAAATCTGTGTAAGCAGGAAAATAGGATAGCAGAAGCCCTGGCTTGCCAGCGTGTCTCATTACATCATGCCTGTGTGCCCTGGGCAAAACCCATTCTTTCTACTGTGTTTGTACATTGCATCAGTGATATAGCAGGCTTCAATACTGATTCTAATTCTGAGTTTTAGACAGAAGCTTATAATTTCCCTGATATGACCTATCCTCAGGCTTCCTATTGGTAAAAAGATCTTTTCCTTACTTCATTGGGGTATTGGGAGATGATGCTAGATGTATACAGGTGTCACAGAATGGATAAATAAAAAAATCACACAGGGACAAGAGAAATCGAGAAGCCTGTGAGCATTGCTCTGGATGTAAGCATTCTGAAGAGGCAGCAGTATGTTCTCAGTCCGGCACTTGCAAGTGTCATTACACTGTGCTGCTCCCCTCATAAGGGACCATATGATAAGGTCCTACCGTGCATGTGCTACCCCAAGGGTCCTCCTCACAGATGGGGTGATGAAACTGAAAAGCCTACTGTGCAGGAGTTCAGTAGGTTTTTTGTAACTGTACTGCCGTGCAACCAGTTCGGTTGCCTTTTTGTTTGACCTGTTTTTATAGATCCTGATGAGGTCTGTAAAACAAGCTTATCATTAATTGCCATTCATACAGTTCTTAATTTCAAGAAGTTAATATGGGAGTTAGGTGAGATAAGTTTTTGCATTTGCTGCTCTACTATAGTGACTATTTTGCATGTTTTGGCCCTGAAACAGAAGAAGCCATCTTTCTTGCGTTAGTTGCAGAGTTAAAGTGGTTATACTAGCCGTTACTGCAGGATGGTTGGTGCAGCCAACTGCACCCTATTTCATTGTGAAATTAGCCTGTTCATGTGGCCTGGGAGAAAACCAGTGCGAGCACCTGAAACAGATGACATTTGAACTCCTAAGAGTGTCTATAGCATAGCTTTTTATCACAGCCCAGTCATAGCTGACATTTAAAATGTGCAACAAGAAAGAGGGAGTGAGATTAGGAGATGTCTCAGTAGAGGTACTGCAGCCCATCTGGGCTTTTCAGAGCAAGAAACTGTACCCAGCTGGGTATCACTGGATGGCATCAAAATGCTTGCTTTGTTGTCTGCTTAAATAATAACCAGGTACACTGTGTGTGGGAAGGGATTGTCAGGGGGAGAAAAGCTATTTAGTATCAAGCTAAGAGAACAGCAAAGCGCTGCTGTTTAAAAGGCTGTATAAAGAGCTGGGCTTGTTGCTTTCTTTCCAATGCTTAGCAACTTTTTTCATTTTAGGAACTTTCCGCTGTACTTTCTGTGAGACTGAAGTGGAAGAAGATGAGTCGGCGATGCCCAAAAAGGATGCAAGGACACTCGTGGCAAGATTTAATGAGCAGATTGAGCCCATCTATGCACTGCTTCGTGAGACGGAAGACGTAAACTTAGCCTATGAAATCCTCGAGCCTGAACCCACAGAGATTCCTGCCCTGAAGCAGAGGTGGGAACATGCCCGGTCTTCTCTCTCTGCGCTGTTTCCTTATAGTGTGTTTGTCTGCTCTGTGAGGCTTTCCCAAACCTCGTGCAGCCGCTGGCTGCATTGGGGACTTACTTATTCAGCACCCAGTGTGCAAGCAACTGACAAATTCCCCAAGGAGCGTGTGTTTTATAAGGAGATGAAGGGCCGTAACCATTTTTTACTAAACAAGGCAGATGACTATTCTGGCCAGCCTCCTGTGTGTAGTTTTCTGTGGGGTGGGGTACTTGAATTACCTGCTCCTTGCTGTGCTGCAGCTGGTATGTATACCAGCCCTTGCCCCAGTATTGGAGAAATACAAACTGCAGCTTTTTGGGCAAAACTCTGAAGGTGCCATCTACACTGTCTTCTTTCTCTCAAACCCTTGTCATCTTTCGTCTATTCCCTTTGCTTCTACCCAGCTTTTGAAACTAAGCTATCTGCATTCTACACTTGGCGTTCTAGTTCAAAGATATTACTTGTAATAAGGGTATTTTTTTCTTCTGATCTTTCTCCTACTTGTTACACACCTCTTCTTTTCAGGAGGAGACCATGTTATAGTCAAAAACTCTTTAAATGCTCCTACCCATGGGAAATGACACTTTCTTGCAGAACATTCCTAGCTGTACAAAAACAGATGATGTTTAAATAATGCAGAAAGATGTGGGGAGCTGTCAGTTTTGTCAGCTGTGGTGAAATGTGATGCACTTCTCTGTATTTAAAAAAAATTAATTAAACACACACATGGGGCGGGGTGGGGGGGTGGGGAATGTATCATGAGGGGAGACATTCCCACAGTGCCTTGGGGTGCTTGGCTTTAGTTAATGGAAGAGCAAGCAGGATACTCTTTTTCTTTTTTGTCTCAGGCTAACCTTGAGGGAGAATGTTCCTCATATATTCATGCTAGACAGTTTCTAATTAATATAATAAAAAGTTCTTTGTCTATTCATAGTCTTTTTCTAGCCAAGAAGGTAGCTAATTTTCCTCATCGTTCTGATAGAAAAACAGAAGCAATATAGAGAGGGGAGGAGAATTTTTCCAAGGTCACTCAACGTGTCTTTGGTGATATGGGGAGTCTTTGAAGCCTTTATGCCCAAGCTGAGTCACTAGCCTTTGCTTTAAAAACCCTTTTCTGTAGTTTGAGTAGTAGAACTGGGATAACCCCACCAAAAAGAGAGTCATTTCTCAGTCTTCCCCTTCTGTGCACAGGAAATTATCACAGCAGAAGCCCGGTGCGGTCCCATGATTAAATACCAGCACCCACTTACTTGACTCTTAAATACTTTAAAAACATTGTAAATGATTAATTACTTTGTGCAAGGAATGACAAAATAAATAGGTGGCTTTTTAAATGCTTACTTGAACACAACTTGCTTCAGTACATACAATGATTTAATTATTTATTAACTCTTACTAATTCAAAGCAGTTAATTGCATGAAAGCACTGCTGTGAGATTTTTTTTTTTTAAAAGTGCCAAACCCTGGGTTATTTATTCCCTCCGTTTTTATGGAGTCTTGAGTGTTTGGCATCATTGACAAAACTGACATTTAGTGATTCTGAAACAAACAGAAAAGGTCACGAAGCACCTGCATCGTCTCTTTGCACCAATGCGGGCAACTCCATGTGTTTTCAGGAGAGTTACAGCTGTAAGAAATCACACTGACCCTGCTGTGGGAAACTGGGCAGATCTTCATTTATATTTTTCTAGGAGGCCGTTAATTTTCTTAATCTTGGCAGGACATGAATTAGCCCCACAGGTTTGTCTGCTTTGTCTAAGCCCTTCTCTGTGGTTTTCTAAATCAGATGGATTTTAATATCCCCTCCATTTTCTTATGTCAAAATTGCATGATTTTATATAACAAAAATCTTCACAGAATTAATTTTCTGTGGTCATGCTATCAAGGACTATGAGTTGTCTGTTGTGAAGTTGAAGCTCTTAAGAGCAGTTAAGTGAGAAAGTGCTTTATTTCAGACATGGCACAAAAGGAGTTATTCACATTAAGCAAGACCTTTTCTTAATAGTCTGGGCAGGATTGAGATGAAAATTTCGAGTTGTTTCCCCATTGCACAGTGTGGTTTCTGTGGGCCATACCTCAGCTATGTCAAGGATTATTTATGTCATCTTTAAAGGCAGCTAACCACCCATTAAGGGATTTCCATCAGGGTAAAACAACTGACGGGTTACAGAGCAAATGTAGCCACATCTGGGCCACTGAGCTGCCACAGCTCCTGGCTGCAAGATGCCCAGGCGGAGTCTAGACCTAGGTGGGGAAAAAGCAGATCTTGGATCTAAGCAAGAGAGAGAGATTTAGGAGTGCACTCCCTCCATCTGCTCTGTGCTGCCCATGAGGCAGCTCACACACCTGGCCTTTTTCTGGTGGTTAAATCCATGGGGTTTAATCCTGTACTTTGGAACAGGGTCCCTGAACAGCGAGATCTCTTCTTGCAGTAAGGAGTGTTCCCCTGGTCATGTAGTCTTGAGGGATTGCTCACTCCTACCAACAGTGCTGCTGAACATGCAGTTCCACAAACAAAGGGAGGAAATTGAGGCACGTTTGCAAAGCTCACTGGGGTCCGAAAGTAGGCAGAAAGTGTCTAGATGGTTCCACCTAAGTGTGCGACATTGCGGTAGATGGCTTAAAGTAATCAATACTATGGGTGTCTCTTAGAGTTGTTACTTTCATTTTTGAAATGTTCCTGACATCATGGAATAAGTGTTTTGCTGCTAAATGATACCGTTTTTTAAAGTCCCATTTCAGGCACACTTACGGGCACCTCTGTGTAAAAGTATTATTAGGCAGTTCCTGGCACTACTGAGTATTTAGATGTCACGCTGCAGTCGTGGGGAGGGAGAGCTTGGGGGAGAGCTGCATTGTGTATCTTGTGAGGAAAGTGGATTACATAAAATCGTCAGGGAAACGCTAGTTAGAGACTTGTATTGTGTGGGAAGCAGAGTGGTGCTTTTCACAGAACACACGCCTGTCTTGGAGAGCTGAAAGGTACCAACACTCGAAATAACACACTGAGAAGAAGGTCTCTGTGTGGTTCCTTAGGTTATATAAGCAATACATGTGCATGAGTCTTCTGCCCCCAAATTCAAGGCTGCTGTGAAGCTTTCCTAGCAGAGCTGGCTGCAGAAGAGAACCAGTTAGTGTGTGGACACGTGCTAAAACGGATGCTGTGAAGTATTTTCCTAACAGACCCCAGCAAGCTCAGCTACTGGGAGGCTGTGGTAGCTCTCAATCCAAACTGCAGCTGAGCACACCACTATTTTTTATCTGGAGAAGAGAGGTGATCATCTACGTGCATATTTTCCCCTCACTGTTTACCTGTAAAAATCCAGCTGAATTAGCTTATGAAGCAGTGGTTAAATCCTTGCTGAATTTAAAAAATTGCATATTACTTAGGTCCTCTTCAACTGCAACCTTATTTTAAGCTTCTCGGTTGGAGGAAAGGTTATTGGGTAGATAGCAGTGACTGAACCGTGTTCACTGACAGCTTCTGTCAGCTCAGCTGGCAGCAGAGCAGGGACACTGAGTGTGCTCGATGGATTTGCTCTGGACAAGAAGAGGAGTCCAGGCAGGTCTGTTACCCGTGAAAAGCCCTAGATACCACTGGCTGTCGGATGACTGAAATTATGTGGCTGAAGCTGGGTACAGTCTGCAGTGGATCTGTTTCTCTGAGAAGATGAAATAAGATTTTGAAGTAGAGGAACGGTCACGTTTGGCTTTCGCCACCTGGAGAGCAGTGAGTTTCCATTCAGCTGCTTTCCCTGATCAATGCATATGTAGCAGCACAGGCCAGGAAGAGTATTTTAGGCTTATTGTCATTGCTATGCAGAAAATACTCCACCTGATGTCCTCTTTCCATCAGATCCGACCAGGAATGTTTCTTTTCTCCATCAGTCTCCTGAGCTAGAAAGGAGCCTGGAGGAAAATGTGCTGGCTGCAGCTCCTCTCAGAAAACAAAGGAGGGCTAGGCTTTGACTGCCGTACCCTTCACATCAGTCATCGCCTTTCTTTCTCCAGCTTTTCCACATTGAAGACAGCTCTGTCTTGCCTCCTCACACACACCATCACCACACAAAGCCCTTTGCCTAGCCCTAGTCCTCTGGTTTGAAGGTGCCTTCTCATCCTTTCTTCTCTGCTACCTGGACTCCCCAGTCCTCCCAAGGCTGTGTCTGTGAATAGGACAGATCTCCTGTAACACAGGAGGCAGGACTTATCATGTGCGTTGTCACTCACAATTCAAGCAAAGGTTTGAACTGTGTTTTTCATGGTGAGTTAACTCCTTCACAAGTCCTGTGATTAATAATGGTTCAGAGATCTGAGCATGCTGGGTCTCTGGGCCTACTGTCTGACTTGTTTAAACTTTAGTGCTTTTTTTATGCAGTATGTGGTTGCTGTGTGAAGGCTGAAAAGAGGCTTTTCCAAATACCAGATTACTGTTTGACTATGTTTTTCTGCCTTCGCTTTTATTTCAGGGTATTCTGGGGTTTTATGTTTGGTTTTACACGAGTGCATCAGCAGCTTTAGTACTGCCTCTTCTTTTCAGTGTCTGTTGTGGAAGTTGCTGTGGCCTCATGTAGTAGGGTTTCCCATTAGAGATCCACAAGTTCCCAAACCAGCAAGCTAGTGTAGAAATTCCTGGCATTACACGTTAGAAATGAGAATGCAAGTTCTCAGTGCAGATCATGGGAGATAACTAATCATGGTTTTAAATGTTGCAATGCTGGCCAAGGAAGGGCTTGTTCTGAGTGGTCTGTTTTTATCTCTTTGACTTCTGTGTAGCAAGGAGCGTGCAGCTGGTACTGGTGCAGGGGCAGCAGCTGGCCTTGCAGGTGGACACCATCGGGAAGCATGGACTACAAAAGGACCATCGTATGAGGACTTGTATACCCAGAATGTTGTCATCAGCATGGAGGACCAGGAGGATCTTAACCGGTCTGCAAGTGAAGGAAAGCCAGCCAGAGAGAGGCCAATTTGGCTACGGGAGAGCACAGTGCAGGGGGCTTATGACCCTGATGAAATTAAAGATGGTAAGAAAATTCTCAGGGCAGAAGTACTGCTCTGCTTATGTGATACTTTTAGAGTGCCGTCAAAAACATGTTCCCCTGTGTGTGTACAGCTGCTGCTTCCAACACTCCAGATTTTGTCTGCTCCCCTCTGCTGTGCAAAGCACCTGTGTGGAGGTAGACGTAAAAAATCATGATTTATTAGGTCCAGGATTGAAATCTAGGTCAGTAAAGCTGAGCTGTCCACAATATTGTTTGTGGGCTTCTAAGATGTTCGTTATCTGTTACGTCCTCCACCTTGAGAGCTTATGGCTTCTACATGAAGGTGCTTCAGCTTCATCTAGAAAGCTGCCTCCTTAATAGGTCATTGCTGAAAAATAGCATTTATTACCATTCAGTGACTCTGAAGCCTACCAAATCTACCAGCAGTGGTTTTGTGCTCCCAGCCACCTTCTTGCCAATTGTTTTTCAAAATGTGTTTTATGTGAAGAATATGTCAGAAAGAAAGCTTCTGGAAGTACAGTAGGAACATCTGTCACCATGGCAGTTAAGTCTTTATTGCTTTCTGTTTGCTTCTCATTATCTTTGCTTTTATTGTCATTCATGTTGGGGTCAGGTTGTCCATAGACCATAGTCAAGATCTTGTAACCACTAGTAGAAGCATTCTGCTTTGGTGAGTGTGCTGTTTAAGCTTACACGCTAAAAACAGGAAATAGAGACCTTTTTTGATTTTTACAGAGTGAATCAATAGATGCAATCTTCCAAGTCATTTGAGGATTATAGACCAAAACTGTTGATGCCCCAGGAAGAGAAGATGGCAAAAGGGAAATGCATGGAGTATGTAGGTATAGCAGAAGTGAAGAAAACAGATGTGAAGAAATGGTCAGAAGATATCTAATGATCTTGTTAGCATGTGACTCCCTTCAAGCATTCGGATCGCAAAACATTTTCCAAACAGATTAAAGTGTCATGACTGAAACAACCTCCTCCTGCAGTGTGTAGCAGATGTTGTTGTTACTTACCAGCCATAGTGAGTTCTCACCCCGTTTTTCTGCTAGACATTCAGTTCACCTGTAGTTTTAATTCGTCTCCTTGAGATGACTTTTGGTGTACACAGCATAAACGTTTCTCAGATGAAGGACATGAAGGGGGAGTATATCTCCTTACAGCATGATAGCATCACTGCTTAACCTCCATCATTGCTGGAGATAGCCTGAAATTGCTGCTGTGACACATTTCTGTAGCTCTTGGGTGACATAAACAAGGAGGACAGAAACTTGGGACTGTTGACAGAAAAGATTCACTGCTTGGGTCTGGCAGGAACAGTTACACAAGCAAGAGACAGCCCCAGTCCTGAGCCACAAAGTCAGACTCTGTGGAGCTATCCCAGCCTGTTGTTGCTTCACAGCTCTCAGTGTGATGAGCTACGATATTACTTCATGGAATTCCAATAGCCTCTTATACTCTACAGTCACAAGCAACAAGCTGAGCTCAAGGCTACCAACACGCTTTCATTCTATCTTTCTTTCAAGAATTTTGCCAGTGCATTAATAATAGTAGTTGCAGCCATCACCCATTACTGCAACTTTATTTACAGTGAAAACACAAGTCCAGTGAAGTTAGGGGTGGATCTTTTGGTCTGTTATTTTACCACAGGAAAGGAGTGACCACAAACTCCCCTGGCTTTTAGTGCTAAATGCAGAACTTAATTTCTTAGTTCACCTGCTTCTCAGCATTTTTTTCATCTCAAGTTGAAAAAAGCATTTTTGACCCTAGGGGAAAAGCTTGGGCACCAACTGCCTGGATGTGGTGCTGAAACCATGAGGGTCCAGGTCTTGGAGAAGCAGGCAAGTGGTGTTAATGTATGAAAGCAGAATGCTGTCACCTCAGCTCCAGCAATTGTTCATAGGCAGCAGCTTTAGGTGCAAGAGAGAAAGTTTGCCACAGAGTCTGTCCTACTTTTTAGGCCATGTTTTTACAGAAGGTTCTCTATATTTCATTTTTTGTTCTGGGCCTTTTTTGGGTTTCTTTTTGCCATACTGCCTGTAGTTTTATTGGTGCTGGGTGGACTCACATACCTCTCGTCAAATACAGTAATCCTGTTTTCTGCAGAATGACACTTTTCGAACAGAATTTTACCTTTGAATCTGTGAACTGCAGACACCCTGCCTACCAAGCCATGTCAAGCCCTCCCAGCTATTGTACAGCCGAGCTTACTGAAAGAGGAGCACAGGCTGTGTGTCTGTCAGCTGGGAAACTGCAGGCCCCTTCAAATAAGAGGCCCAGGTAGGGAGCCAGAGAGACTGGCTGGGCTGTGTTTCAGCTTGGAGAGCGGGAGCTGTTTTCACGCAGCCTTCCACGCTGTGCTGTGCAGCTTGGCTGCAGGCTGTAAGCTGCATCTGCTTCGTGAGATTGATCCCGCTCGATACCACCAGCATGTTCCTGTAATGAGCTTTTCCCATTCCTGCCTGGTAGGTGCACCTCTGAGCTTACCAGACACGGCTACTTTGAATGTTGTTTTATAACACGTGGTTTCCACATGCTCCCTGTCTGCCTGCATTCATCACTTCTCCATCTTAATCCTTACAGATGGGGAGCTTGGTAGGGCAGGGCCTGGTTTTGGGTCTGTATACAAGTGTCATCATTAGGTGCATAGTCTGGGAATCTGGAAGCCCACATGGAAGTCCCAAGGACTGCTTTCTGCTCCACAGTAAGGAAAGTGCATCAGCCCAGCTGAGGGGGACGCCCAAGTTGGACACCTGCCTGGGGGGTTCTTTTCCAGGTGCCTGCCCATCATGCATTTGTTGTCTTTTACAGTGTGCTCCTGGGCAAGACTCCCAGCTGGGAGCCACAGGGACTGCAGGCCTCCCAGCTCCTAGGAAATGTCAATACTTGCTCTGCTGTTAAGAGAATAAACGTAACTATCTCTGTCTTTTAAGGGAGAGGAGGAGCTGGCATAGAGAAAGGGTGTGACTTGGCCAAGCGTGCTCAGTGGCAGTAGCTTCTCAGAAGTCCAGAAAACCTTCAGGGCCATCACCCAGATCTCTGTGAGGAAACAATCATTCCCTTGTGTCTCTTTGCAGGGGGCCGAGATCTGGATGCCTTCCAGGAGCGTGAGGAAGGCCGGGCAGCTCTGGATGATAATGAGGAGGTGATGCGTGCCCTGCTTATCCATGAGAAGAAGACACCTTCTGCTTCAACAGTCACCGTTGGAGGTGCCGCTCCACTCTCCGGTGCCAATGCTAGTGACTCCGAGAGTGAGACAAGCGAGTCAGAGGAGGAATCCCCTCCCCGCCCTCCTGCCACAGCCACCACAACATACGGCCTGGAGGATGAAGAGGAGGATGAAGAGTTTGAGGTGGTGGCAGAAGACCCCACTGTCACAGTGGCTGGGCGTCCACACTCATACAGCCAAGTGAGCCAGCGCCCTGAGCTGGTGGCCCAGATGACACCGGAGGAAAAAGAGGTTTACATAGCCATGGGGCAACGCATGTTTGAGGACATGTTTGATTAACTGCTTCCTGCCATGGTACTTTTTTAAAAGTGACTTTTTAAGCCAGAGACTCCCTAGTAAAACAGAAGACTGAAGTGCATCTTTTGTCCCCTGTGCGCAGGGACGCTGGGGCTCAGGACTGCTAATCTCAGGCATCTTGCTCACCAGAGCCGGGGAGCAGGAAGGCTGCATGTGCCAAAACAGGTAGGGGGGGACAAGTCTCAGAAGTGAGGATGCTTGCAAGGTAAAAATCTGCTTCAGGGTGCCCTGCACAGGCACTGCTTTAACCTTCTCCAAGGCCCCAGAAGCTGCCTCCCCCTGCTTGCTTTGAGTTGACTTTTGTTGCAGATCCTAGTGAAGTCCACATCCCTGCACTCAGAGGACGTAGGGGCTCCATAGTCTGATCAGAGTGCTCTGCAGAGGAGGGCATAAGTAACATTACAACTGCCTCTGATTGGTGAGGGGAGAGGAGAGGGAAGCACTCGCCTGCTGATGGCAAGCTTGGGCAGGGCTTGTAGCTGACCTCCTGCCAGCAGCCACTGGCCACTGGAGTGGCCATTTCTAAGCAGGCCTGTAGGCAGCAACCTGTTCTTGCTCCCATTCACTCCTTCCTAGGTCTCGGCACCTCAAGGTCAGGTGTAACTTGAAACACGCGGAGTGAAAGCCTTGGTAAGCACACACAGTCACTGTGTCAGTAAAGAAAGCCCTCCCTGGATCTGAGCTGTCGGAGTGCTCTGACTTACCGGGAGATACCTTCATTTTCCAGTATTGCTGCCTGTTGCTTCGGCCTCACCCTGTCCAGTGTTGCAGACGGTTCGTAGTGGGCAGAGCAGTCAGGCAGTGCCAGAGAAATAGCGTAGGTAGTTTTTATTTGCAGTCACACCAGGGCTGTGTCATTTTAAGAGGAATTATGCAATTTTGAATTCTGCTTTGGCACACTTTTACCATAGAAAAACATTTATCAGTGCCTACAGAGCAACTTCATATTTTTAATGTTTTTCTCTTTCAATTGAAAATGTTGGGGTTTTTAATTGTGTTTTCCTATCCACTACTACAATAAGGCAAAATGATAAAAGAATTTTGTGTTCCAGAGGGTAGGGGCAGTATTTCATGCTGTTCCATTTACATGGGCAGCATGGATTTGCTGTTCACTGAGACTGTAAATCTGTTTTATACTAACTATGCTTGCTATGTTCTCCTAACCTTGTAATGCCTCCTTTGTGGTTTTCTTTTCAGCTTCTTGATATTTTGAATCCCCTCATTTTTAAAATAGTGTTTTCAATTTGCTTTTAAGTCATTTTAAAGAGGAATAAATAAACAGAAACTTCTCCCCTTTGTCAACTTCCGATTTGTCATGTGCCTAGTTGGGAGTGTTGTTTGCTTATCATTTTTATTGACTTGATTCAAGAAAAAAAAACAATTTGAGGCTCTCCTTTGAGGGAAGGACTATTTGAAATCCCACCGCACATTGTTTCTCCTCGCCAGAGCTTCTTTGAATGCTTCCTGGAATCTCCTGCACTTCCAAGAAGGATGTTGCATTACACTGATGCTGTGGGAAGCCCTTTCTGCTCAGCATTTGCATTCCTTTCCTCCTTCATCGAGGGATGCATAGGCTGATGGTAGTGGTCTCACTGCCATTGTATTGCTAGTTAAAATAGTACTCTTGCATAGACAGACTTTGAAGATCTGGTATCAAGCTTCTAGATATCAAGCCACAGAGCTGATCAGTCAGATTCAGTGATCAGCTAAAAGTAAACAAGTGCTGTACCAATTCTGTCTCGATTTAATCTGATTGAATTCAAAGTTAGCACTGGAGAAAAGCAGGTAGATTACAAGGAGGCAGAGACAGAAACTGAGAACTAATCCTGAATACAGTACAACTACTGACTCACCAGTAGTTTATACTGAGTTTTTAGTCTGCAAAATCAAACTGTAGGTTTATTAAAGCTGAAGTGAAGAAATGCTGGGCTTTACTACAAGAGAACTGATACTGCATCTATGTCCAGCATAATCATCTATGAAGTAGTGGTTTTACTTAATAAACATGTTTAATTGTGCTTTGCACAGTGGTTGTAATTTTTGTCATTCAGCAAGGCATGTCCTGCACGAGGGGATCGGTGCGGTGGTTCGCAGAGCGTGCCTTCCGTCTCTCATCCACCACACGCAGCCCTCAGGAGGACTGGCGAGGTCAAGATACGCGAGCAGGTGCCGTCATTGTTTCCTGCCCTCTCTTAACAGCTTCTGGTGCTCAGAAAGGGTGGCTGCTCTGCTCTGTTCCAGCCCGTTAGGGCTGGTGTCAAAGGACAACTGTGCGCTGCTACTGCCCTGCCACGACAAGCAGCGCTTGAATGAACAGGAGCACAGACAATCGATAGCGCCTGTTTTTCTGCAGTTGGGGCAGGGCTCTGCACACATGCCAGAAGAGGAAGAACGGCCGCTGCCGCAAGCAAAGCCAGCCACCGCCAGCAGGTTGGTGCTAATGCAAGGGATAAAGCCATCAATTCTGCAGAAGGGCCCAGCCATTTCCTCTGGCTGCCGGACCATATGTGCTGCATTAACACTAACCCAATAACACTGTGAGCGTGGCCGAGCGCTGAAGCCTCCCTGGGTGAATGTTCTGTCTACCCCCATTCAAACCAGTTTCTGTGTCTGCTTTCAGCCTAAAGTGCTTTTTATCTGGTGACCGTGCTTGAGGCCAGGGCACTGCAGCTCAGGCTGGAAAGAAGAAAACATTTCTCAAGCTGCTCATACTCCTCTTCCCAAAGGTCAGAGGTGCCGGGTGCCTCTACCAGCTGGATGAGAGCTGCCTCTGTCTCTGCTCCCATTGCAGGTCAGGGAAACCGCAGCAGAGTGATGTTCTACCTGGCCCAGCACAGAGCAGGCCAGAGTAGATCAGTGAAGCTGCTGATGGAGGGGAAGGTCACTGTCAATGCTGGAAAACAGGAATGTTTTAATCTTTCCTACTAAACTCACAAAAATTGGCTTCCTCCATCCAACTCTTCTTTTCCTGTGTTGCTACCTCCTTCAAACAAACTCGGATTAAACAGGCTGTTGCTCTGTGAGAGTCTAGGGATTTGAAGATCCCCTGGAGGCAGGGCAGAAAAATAGAATCACCTTCTCCCTGAGACATCTAAGGAGCCCTGCCTCGGTGATGCCTGCAGTGCCAGGGCGTGCTGTGGAGAAGTTTGACAGGGGCTGGAGCAGGGAAGCAGCCAGCTGTGCTTCGGTCTCTGGCTCCTGCCGTGCCCCCATGGGAGGAGAGAGAAATTGGTCTCAGGAATCAAACGCGGGATGAAGCCTTCATGGAAAGTTTATGAGGAGGTGGAAGGACATGTCAGCAGCATGGCAAGCCAGTGGGGCATTCCAGTATGCTCTCCTGGGCAGGTTGCAGAGGAAAAGCAGCAGCAGCCCCATTCCTCTGCTCTGGTACGTGTCAGCGTAAACAAGTGAGGCTGTGGGCTCGGTCCCTTGGAGGAGGGAGGAATCACACAGTGCTGCCAAGAATTGCTCTGGGCTGTGCTAGGACTGGTACTGCCTTATCCCACTGGAAGCCCTGGGCAAGGTAACCGTGTCCCTGACTTGTTCACAGGAGGCTTTGGAGTATTGATCTAAGCATGGGCAGCCAAGGATCCCTAAGCATCACAATACACTCCAGTTAGAGTGTATTGACTGTGAGTCAACACAGCCTCTTCTCCAGGAGCACAGGAGCTGGAGCTGAAAAGTAGCTTCTGTCTGCTGAGCTGCTTCCAGAATAATGATCAATATTTATAAAGTCCAAAGAGATCATCACTCAACAGTCTTGATAGGAGGCGTAGCCAGATGCTCGAAGCTGTTTAAGATGTGATTACATAGAGAGTCATGGAGAGGCCACTGCCTAAAAGGAGTGGCAGCCCAAAGCGTGGGGAGCGATGTCTGACTGAAGCTGCTGCTTCTGGAAAGCTGCCTGCCTGCCTGCCTGCTCACTCCTAGCAGGGAGCAGAGCACTGGCAGTGCTGGGCTGTCCGGGACTACAACCCCGTCACTATGGCAGAGTTATTTTCTCTCACTTTCAAAGTTACCCGGGGAAATATGGGCTTTTGCCTGTTTGGGGTACCTAAATGAGCTGCCGAAAGGTCGTTTCTTATTCACCAGCATTAATAAGACTGAGAGACAGAATGAAGCTAATTTATATTTAAACAAAAATCAGATTTTGGAAGTGCCTGCTGTATCATTAAAAAACATATTAAGGACAGTGGGTATTTGTGCAACCATCCTGGAAGCAGCAGACAGAGAGTCTCTGAACAAGATGCTTTAAATATAATAGGTGTTTTTGCTTAAAATATGTTTCTGACCTAAATATAATTTAATTTCCATCCCTTTGAACAGTTCGATGCTAATGAACCAGCCAGGGATGGCAGAGAGGAGGCGGGCCCAGCCGCATTGGAAGCGGCTCGGCTCCACTGCAGTGCGTTAGAGACCCTGTGTGCGCTTCACCCCGGCTGCACGCAGCGACGAATGCGCAAATCCTGCCGAGAGCTGGCCACAGCAGCAGGAGGAAACCTTGGGCTGCTCAAGTGGAGAAACAGGCAGGGATCCAGCCTGAGAATTAAGGCTGATCAAATATTGTTCCATGAGCATTAATGTCTGTGTACAAAAAAAGGTACGTCTGGCAAGGAGGAAAAATCACATCTCATACAGATGTGATTAAAGCCCTGACATACTGCTTCTGCTTATTTTTCACCTGGACTCACTATCGCCAGCTCCTGCCATCCTGTTACTTGCTGGAAGAAGGAGGGTGAGCAGTGGTAATTTTGCAGTGAGCTAAAATTGTGCATTGAGCTAAGCCTGGCTCAGTTCCATCTGGTAAAGGGATACTCCTAGTCTTAAACATTTTTTCTGTGCTTCTGACAGTGGAAATCTGGCTGATCCAATGCCAAATTTACCAGGCACTGTTAGCAGAGTCAATGCTTTTTCTATGTCCTCTTAACATACATTATGGGGGGACAAGAATTCCAAACACTATTTAGTGGCTGCTACCACCT